GATGACTGTTTAATGGCTGAAATTCGCGTCGTTAATTGCTGCAATTTCACCACGTGTGTTGGATGTTTGTGTGATGATTTCTCGACCATCTGACCCACCGACCTTGGCGTTGGGAACACTGTTCACCTGTGCGCTCCCCGCGTGGCTAATTACTCCGTCTAGGCAAAGTCTCAGCACCGAATATGGAAGGGGAAGGTCGTTGGACTTTTTGATGGACTGGGGGTCCGTGAACCATGACTCAAGCAGCTCGCGGCTCACGCGACTATACCCTCTCACGAGAATTGCGACCTCGTTGAATTTGAATGTGTAGCCGCATCTCGTCGAGTGAGCCGCAACTTGACAGCTGACGTCATTTCTCTGCACTGCTGAAGCGTGTTCGGCCATTTGCACTCGGAGCTGTCTTCCGGTTTCTCCGACTACTTCCTTTGTTCGCAACTGCACCAGATCCGATAAACGACGCCAGACGTTTCTTGCCGTGGCAGTGGGTCTTTCGGTTACATTACCTGACGCCTGATGGTTGCCTCCGGTCTGTGTGCAAATCCGACCCCAAATGGTGCGAGAAGGCGGCCGACAGGTTCCGAAACGTTCTTGGCATACGGAAGCGCTCGCAAAAATTTGGTGTCCGTGCGGTTAGGCCTTTCGTTCCTTTGCGTATGCACCGGTTGACAAAGTTGCGCGGGTAGCCATTGGCTTTGAATACCCGTCGGAGGTATTTTAGTTCGGCAATCTTGTCTTCCGAGTCACTGCAGTGCGTTTCGACACGCCGATAGAACTACCTTACACACCTGCGTTTGTGTCCGATTGGATGGTTGCCGTTGAAGTTCAGTACTTGCAGTGTATTTGTCGTTTTCCTGAACAGTTTGGTCTATAGGCCACCATAATCCTTGCGGCAGACGAGGATATCCAGGAAGGCCAGCTGGTTGTTCTCTTCCTCCTCCATCCTAAATTGTATGCTAAGGAAGACGCTGTAAAGTTGTTCTTTGAACATTAGCACCTGATCCCGTTCGATGATGACGAAGGTGTCGTCCACATACCGTGCCCAGGATTTCGGTCGGTGGTGTTGGAAGACGAGGGATTGTAGCCGTTTTAGGATGGCCTCGGCGATGAATCCCGAAATCGGCGAACCCAGTGGTGTGCCCTTCGCCTGCTCGTAGACTGTCCCGTCAAATGTGAAGTACGCCCTCAGACAGAACTTCAGGAGCTGAAGGACTTGGGCGTGTCCAAGATGATTCTCTGTTGCATCATATTTGCTTTGTAGAAGCAGCTCGACTGCCTCGATCGCCAGGTCCTAAGGAATAGAAGTAAGAAGGGATGTATCATCAACAGATACCATGACCTCATTTGGATGGACGCTTACTCCTTTGAGTTTCTCCAGGAATTGTGCTGACGAAGAGACCATGGTGTCTGACTAAACGGTCAGGAACTTGAGACGCCGGAACAGCCACTTAACCTCTTCGTACGTTGGAGTACCTTTGAGCGACATGACGGTAGTCCGTCCTGTCCAGTACGACCGTGGAGCGCCCCTTGTCAGCTGGCACAATGACTAGGTCTTTGTCGGCCATGAGTTCTCTAAGCGCATCACGTTCGACCTTGGAAAGCACTTTCCCTGGCCTGTGGGCCATTAGGAGGGACAACACTTGGTGTCGGATGAGGCTCTTAGGCTCGTCCGTTGCTTCCGTCTGACTACGGATTCATTCCACTGCTGCTGCATGTTAACAGGTTTGGCGTCTGTCGTGTTGAATGATGCTTCTTGCTTTAAAGCCTGCATCCGATTCTTCGTCAGCTCTTTTGACGACAGGTTGTGCACCAGTTTGTCGTTTTGGACGACGATGAATTGGGCAGTTTTCGGAATTCGTTCTTCAGTGCTGCGTCGCGGGCTCGTTCAGCCAGTCTCTGCAGGAGCAGATTTTTACCGATCTTGCCCATGATCTCACAGCATTTGATCTCTTCTTGGTCGATCCTCTGACGGTACTTGCGAAGTCTCGCGTGACAATCTCGGAGGAGCACTCGGGCCATCCTTCTGCCATGCTGAAATACTGCTCGTCTCACCAAATCCGCGTTAACCGGGAGCTTGTATGAAACTCATTTCGGTAACACATTATTGTCGAGACACCTGTGCATAAACCGGATCTGCGAATACGCAGAAGCCTCTCGAGGGCAAAGGTTTCCCATTGCCGGGCTGATCGGAGCGCATCGCGCCCAAATGCATTGCCAATAGAAGCGAAAAGACGAGCCCCAGGAAGCAGTCGTGAAGGAGGCACGATCGTTGGGACAAGAGGTTTATTCTCCTGATGTTTCGGATTCCTGCTCGAGCCCACCATCAGAGACAAAAGCAGATACGGACGGTTCATGCACAAGGAGATGCAGTATCTATAGGATGCAGTTGTCATGCTACCGCGGCTCCCCCTACACAAGTAATTGTCCTATGGAGACGTAGCTATGAGCGCTCACAAGGAAGAGTGACAAGGACATCCTCAGAACATTATTCAAGCCCTGTAAGTCAACACTGAGATCTCAGGACGTGTCGCACAATATCAGCAGACGTGGCCCACTGCTGCAAGAAATGGGACGATAATTTACGGCACCCATCACATGCAAAAGACAAAAGCGCAGAGGGAGGCCGGCAAATCTGGAATACGACGGCTCCGTGTTGCAAGCACCCAACATCCATCATCTTGCTTCACTGTCCACGGATATCTGGATTACGGACATCTGCATACTTAGTGGAACTCCAACAAAACCAACCCGCCCTCCATCTCACAACACATTATTATTACCACCGACATTAATGTCCGATAACAATTCTCTCATCCTGCGCTCCACCACCACCATCGACCCCTCCAACAGCAAAGTGGGCCCAGTTCCAACCTGTCCCCATTGCGATCGTACCATCGACCTGGTCGGTGTCACTTGCGAATCTCTCGCACCGAAACCCATAGACCTACGAACGGAGCGCAGACACGCATCAGATACGTTCTTCTCACCTACTCACATTACCCCAGTACTTTCGGCCATATACGCCATCGTAACAGCTCGTCCTACCAGTACACGACAGTTCGACTGTCGCGAACGACGAAATCCAGCGTGTGCCCCACGGAGTGAACGCAGGGCAGTAATTGGCACATGAATTAGTTAACAGTGAGGCAGACTTGTACAGCGTCTATCCTACTCTCCTCCCTCACCCACTTGACTCCGGCGGCGAAACAGTACCAGGACGACCGGGGGTGGGCATGGGCGGAGTGGTTGACAAAACTGAACAGCCCGTCGGCGCGTGCCACAAAATATGGTCCCCGCCGAATATACCAGGCCTTCACAAGGATGGCTCGGATTTCACATTACTGAGAGTGTCATAGAGGACGAATTAGGAAAGAACTAATGAGCCTGACTCTTAATCCTGAAAAGGACGTAGTTATACAGTCAGTTGACAACCTTCCCAAGTGCGTGCTGCAACGGCATGACATAAACGTTCCCACATGTAGCTACCCCGTCTTTTATCTCGTGTGCTGACGTTCCGATCTCAAATATCTCGACCGCGGTTGTAGCACGATCACCTACCCGGGTTGCTAAGTGTTTTCTTCGATGATCTTTGCCAATTGTAGCAATCATGATCGGGCAATAGCATAGCACTCACTCCAAGGATTTTGTAATGATTCCACGCTCGTGACTGCCGAGAACTCACACAAAAATTCCGCGCTTGGTGTTCTAAGGCTTAGCCATTTTGGGCGGGCGTGCTGGCTGTGTGAGTCATAGATATTCTCTTATTTTCCATTATGGTGAATATTATCCCCTTACACTCTGCTCGGCACAGTCCTGGAACCCTACATTTCTGCACTAGAAAGATTGGTTCAGAAGGTTACCTTCGAATGAAGGGATAATAGGAAACCATCCTTCAAGTAATCTGTTTGCGCAATCGCTAACCAGTCGTCTACGGTCTTACCGGTTTTTTGATTAGGAAAGGCCATGTTCGGTGACTTGGTAATGATCAATAACGTTGAAAGGACAGAGATTTTCCGGTCAACAGCACCAACTTCGCCTAGCGCAGAGGCGATTTACTGTCAAACAACATCACTTCAAAGCCCACATCGGCACAGACTATGTTGACTGGACAGGAGTGCTGGGTCCCCATAGTCTCAACGGCTCCAACGAAAATGGATTGCTCCTCCTACGAGCCTGCTCAGAACACCGCCTCACACTGTCCAACACCTTCTTCCGCCTTCCGACGCGAGAGAAGGCCACCTGGATGCACCCTCGGTCGCGACTCTGGCACCTGCAGGACTATGTCCTCGTCCGAAGGCGAGACCAACAGGACGTACTGGTGAAAAAGGCGATCCTGGGTGCCGACGGATGGAGCGACCATCGTGTTGTCGTCTCAAAATGAGGATTCGCCTACAGCCTTGCAAGAGACATCAAGGTGAGCGACCCACAGGTAAGTTGAATAGTGCTTTGCTGTCCTTGCCTGCTCACCATCTACATTTCAGCAATGAACTGGCGCAAAGGCTATTCAAACTTCCAGTTGCCGCCGTCGCCGACGAGAACGCCTCCGTGGAGAACTGATAGTGTCAACTGAGGGGCACGGTTCAGTCGACCGCCCCAGCTGTCCTCGTTCGCGCACGTCGCCAACATCGGGACTTGCTAGACGACAGTGATGCCGCCACCAGAAACCTGCTCACCGAGAAGAACCGCCCGCAGAAAGCTTACGTTGATCGCCCTACCGACGACAACAAAGGAGCCTTCTACCGTAGTCGCCGCATTGTGCAGCGGCTGTAGGAAATGAAGAGGGCTTGGACGGCTTGCAAGGCCGAGGAGATCAAAGGGTACGCGGATCGCAACCAATGGAAGATCTTCTTTGCCGCGATCAAGACTGTCTGCCGTCCCACAGCGAAAGGCACCGCTACTCCTCTCAGCGCCGACGGTAGTACGCTAATCAACGAGAAGACACAAATTATACAGCGAAGGGCCGAGCGCTTTATAGGTGTCCTCAATCGTCCCTCCACCATCTCCGATGCCGTCATCGCCCGTCTGCCTCAAGTGGAGACCAACTCCGACCTCAAACTCGCGCCCTCTATACACGAAACCACCAGGGCCGTGAAACAGCCCTCCAGCGGCAAAGCTCCGGATCAGACGCGGTCCTTGCCGAAATGTACAAACACGGTGGCCCCCAACTCATGGCTCATCTGACGGCGCTCTTTCAGGGGATGTGGCGTCAGGGGGAAGCCTCCGGGATTTAAAGTATGCCAGGATCGTCCACCGCCACAAGAGGAGAGGTGGTCGCCAGCTCTGCGACAACCACTGAGGCATCTCCCTGCTGAACATGGCTGGAAAGAGCTTCGCTCGCATCCTTCTCAACCGCCTGAACCACCATCTGGAACAAGGTCCCCTGGCAGAAAGCCAGGGTAGCTTCCGCCGTTACCGTTGAACTAAGGGCATGATCTTCGTCGCCCGCCAACTGCGGGAGAAGTGTCAGGAGATGAGGATCCACCTCTACTTTACCTTCGTGGACCTGACGACGTGGTGAATAACGAAGGACTTTGGAAAATGATGCAGAAATTTGGCTGTCCCGAACGACTCACTCTGATGGTGCGCTCCACGATGGCATGATGGTGCGCGTCAAGGACAATGAAGTCGTCTCAGAGGCATTCGCAGTGACCAACGGAGTGAAGCGGAGCTGCGTCCTCGCGTCTACCCTCTTCAGTCTCATGTTCTCTGCCATGATAAAGGACGAATACCGTGACAAACGCCGCGAGATCCGCGTCACCCACAAAACGGACGATCAACTCTTCAATCAGCGACGGATGCACTTCTAGTCGCGTGTGTATACAATCTCCGTCCATGAACTTCTCTTCGCCGACGACAGCGCTTTCAACGCCACCTCCGAAGGGGATATGCAAGTGAACATGGACCTCTTTGTCGCCACCTGCGACCTCTTTGGCCTGCTTATGAACACGGGGAAGACCGTGGCTATGCACCAACCACAACCCGATGCTACTTACGTCGCACTCCAAATCAACGTAGACGACGCCCAACTGCAAGTCGTGGACAACTTCATCTACCTGGGCAGCACCTCTCGCAACACCAAAATCGACGATGAAGTGGCTCGCCAAATCTCCAAAGCCAGTAAAGCCTTTAACAGTTTGGTATAGACACGGTCTCCACATCAGCACTAAACTGAAGACGGACAAGGCGGTCATCCTGCTGACGCTGCTGTATGGAGCGGAGACTTGGATGGTGTACAACAAGCAGGCACGACGATTCAACCCCTTCTACCTCAGCTGTCTCCAATGGATACTGAAGCTGAGGTGGCAGGACCGGATACCGGAAACGGAAGTACAGGAACGGACGGGTATCCTCAGCGTCTACGCCATGCTGAGGCAGCTGCAATTGCGCTGGAGCGGCCATCTGGTGGGAATGGACGACCAGCCGTTGCCCAAACGACTCTTCTATGGAGATGTCGCCACGGATTCCCACCATGAAGGACGTCAAGGCCAGCGCTACAAGGATACCCTGAAGACTTCGCTGAGGCGTCTGCAAATCGACCCGGCCAACTGGGACCGGGACCTGGCGACCTGGCGGACAGCAGTGAACACCGGCGCAGGCATCTACGAGGACAACCGCATTATCGCCGCCGAAACCAAATGTGACGCTCGCTGTCCCCACCTCGCAACGCCAACGCTCAATTGTCCCCGACCTGCTTTTTGATGCCAGCGGGCGTTCGGTGCACCAATCGGCCTTATTTGACACCTTCATACCAACTGCAGCAACCAGACGACACCACCCAGTGGCCCCCCGTCCACATCTGTCTCGTCCCCCACGCTGACAATCAACACTGACCGCATTCCTGAACCCGCAATGCCATCCTCCGCCGTCGCCTCAACATCCGCTGCGACGGCTCCTGCACCCACCGTCACAGCACTCAATCTTAACACACAGACAAACATCAAACTCACCACCGCCAACACCAGCGATGTGGACACGGTCCATATCTATCCTCATTGCGATCGCACCTTCACCTCACACATCGGTCTGGCCGGTCACTTGCGAATCCATCGCGCAGAGACTGGCGAACCAGTGCCTGGAGCACCCACATACACTCGCTGCATCCGCCTCCACTGGCCACACTACTCCAGGTCACTCACTCACCGCATGGGTCTTCTAGGTCACATGCGTGTCCATGAGAGCGGAAGTCACAGCAGTCTCGAAACACCTCGCACATCCTGCACACACATTATACTTAGCCCTACCCACACACCGCCGCACACAGCGCCCAACACCAGCAGCTCCACCGCCGCCGCCGCCGCCATCACTGAAACCGACCTTGGCACTACCAATCTATCCTGCCCACATTGTTTCTGCACCTTTGCCTCACACATCGGCCTGATCGGTCACCTGAGAATCCATCGCACAGAGACCGGCGAACCAGTGCCTGGAGCACCACCAACATACACCCGTGAATCCGCCTCAACGGCCCTCACTGCATCCGCACATTCACCCACCACATTGGCCTATTAGGTCACATTCGCATTCGCGAAAACCTGCGGTAGACAACCACCGGCTAAACCGCACCACCACATCTTCCTCTACCTACATCACACGACATCATCACCCACCACAAACACTCAATTGTCGCCTCCCACGCAAGTGGTAAGTGTGCTTCTCGACTCCGTCTCCATGCAGCTCTTCCGCCGCATGTGATTCGAGTCTGAGACTACCACGGTGCGTCAAGCGCCGTGGCTTGGAAGGCTGCTGACTGACGCCCCAACTCAGCCCACACAGTCCGTCCAGTTGTGGGTCTGTTTATAGTGGCGAACTAGAGGGTCGGGAGTCAGGGTGAAATGGCTCCTTCTTAACATGACGCATGTGAGATGTATGCCGCCCAGCACCCTTTGCGTGAAATCCTGGTACTTGTGTTTTTGGGGGGGGGGCAGTTCGTGCATGTGGCGCGCGCAAAGATTACTAGATATGTCAGCCACCGTGCCCATTTCCCGCACTTGTCAACTGACCAGCTCGGACAGTGACTGGGGCCTGAGAAAAGGGAGAGTGTGGTCGACGACTCAGCGCATTTTCCTCACTATAAACAATCTGGCGCGCTTGAAGCAATCACGGTGTGCTAAAAGCTGTGGCTTGGAAAGTTGCCAACTGACGGGATAACTTGGACCTCGCAGTCGACCTAGAGTTGTGTTTTTGTGTGGAGTGGTCGGCTGGTGGCCCGAGAGTCAGGTTGCAATGACCCCTTCTTAATGTGGCCTTATGGCACTCCCAATCCGTGGGGTCCGAGCCAGGTGTGGCGGCATGCCTGGGGGCGGCCTCGGCCGCGTCAGCTCCCGTTGGTGTTGGTTAAAATCCTGACCAGGGGGTGTGGAATGAGCGTCCAGGTGCGGGCTCGACCGTGTCATCCACCTGCACCCTCCCCCGCCTCCGGTTTTCTTGACTCTGTCTTGGCACCGGATCCAGGTGGGAAAAGAGGTGAGAGTGCGACAGATGCTTCGAAAATCTACACTCATTATAAACAAAATCACGCGCAAGTCACCACGCTTGTTTCAACTTGCTGTGGAGCACACGATGGACATCGTCGGATGCGACGGTCGAACTGTTAACTGCCTGCTCGTTGGGTGTCCAACAACTGGTCAGACTGAACACGTGTCTGTGGTCCGTGCCAGGTCAAGTTGTGTGAAACCGTCGATGTTAGTGAGCACTTGAGTTGATTGAATTGTTTACGTTGTCTCTGCATCCTGCCAGCGCGCAAACACCCGTCGCACACTGTTTTGCCAGCTAGTAATGAGGCTTAGCCTCGAGTTGCCAACAGCAGACTTCACGCAATGGTAGGGTGGATAAATAACGTGCGACGTTGGTGGTAGAGATAAATTAGATGTGGGGGGTCCGGATCAGCCATTCACTGCTTAATCTATTTACGTTCATCCAAAATCGACTAAAGAACCATTTCGCAATAATGATTAGTCTTAAATCCATCTAGCCAGTTCTCGACGGTGATTATAGTTCAGCAGGTTTTAAATTTTCACTGCTTGGCCTTTATCAAGGGCTACGTGACGGCAGTGTAGAAGAGGCGACCGCGTAGAATTTTCTTCAACTGTTAGGAACATGCAACTTCAATATGATAAACCGTCACATTAACCGCAGACGCTTCAGGAATGGTGCACTCTGCTCAAGGAAAAAAAGCACGTCTCACGTTAGTCTACTACTTCTATTTCCCATTAGGTACGGCTACGGCGTGTTTGGCTTAGTCGAACCCATTTACGTCGGCGATAAGGCCTCTCTATGTCCAACGAGCTGCGGTAATATATTGAAGGAGTCCAGATCTTTTGCCTCTGCAGTAGCGGAGACCGAATACCATAGGCTCAAGAAGTGTCTCAAAATCTTGAATTTGTGCCTGATAAAGTTTTGGGCTGACGTCCTCTTAGTCGTCTTCAGAAAGGCGGATGAGGTGTATTCGAGACAGTAGCCCTGGACTGGCAAGGGCAAAAAAGAACGCATCCAGGTCAGTTTAGCTGCTTTTTTAATACGGCTTAAGATACCCTTGCGAAGTTGTCGCATCGAGCGCAACTTCTCTCGTTCAATGCGAGGCCAATGCGCCCAGTTTGCAGGAGCGTTCTTAAATAGGTACAGCAGAAACTTCCTCAGTTCGCAGTTCCTGAAGATCAAAACTATTAAAATGCGCCAAAAACTGGATAATGAAGTTAGAGGCAGTTAACTTGTAACCTATGAGTGATAAATATCTGGCCTGAAGTAGTTTCTAAATAGAGCCTACTGATTATAGCTACTGGTTTTAAGTGGGCGTCTTCGACACCCAGCTACAACAGGCAACACAGAATGCAGGAAACAAAAGGCCGAAATTCGAAGGGCAGGGCATGCCCTCGTCAAGAAGTTGACTTTCAGAAATACAACAAAACAAGGTAGACCCAAAAGTCGGACAAGGGAATATGAGCCCTCACCGTACTACATGTGGCCTCAAGCTAGATTCCTGGGAGATTACTTTTCCGCGTCCTAATTTTAACACCAACTACCTCCACCACCACCGCCGTAACCGTTGCCGCCGCCGCCAGCACCTCAGAATTTAGGAAACCTGCAGTGCGGGGTCCGTATTCTCAGAAAAAGTCTTATTTTGGATTGCTCTGAGAATATGACAGTTAAAAAGCTCGATGAAGTCTAAGCATAGACATCCGAAGAGCGGGGGAGAGCAGACACCCTCATTCACGCTAAATTTCTAAGTAAGGCTTATGTAACGCGGACATCTGCTTACTTGAAAACCAGCAGACCATTCGCACATTTATGTTTAGAAAAGGACAAAGACACTTACGTAACCGGTAGCACCTCGAAAGTTCTTGACCACGGCAAGTTCGGGGTTGGAGTGTGGGCCGGGAAGGTGACCCACAAGGCGAAAGAGGACACGTAAAATGCTGGATTTGCCGGACCCTGTGCGACCCACGATGCCCAGCCGTTCGCCAGCCTTGATCTCCAGACAGACATCTTCGAGTGCAAAGGGGACAGGTGAGCCGGTGAGGCCCCTGTTCCCCACAGCAGGATAGGTGAGGTAGACATGCTGGAAAGAAATGTTGCCTTCCTGCGGCCAAAGGGGGTCTACAGAGGAGCATTCGGAGTGGCCTTGCTGGTGCATGTATGCATGCGGGGTGGCTAAGCGGTGTTTGTCACGATCAGGTGCCTTAAATTTTAGAAACATTTGTCTGAATAAGAATTAAAATATTTTTTGGCCAATGACGCGCAAGCCTCAAGGAGGATACTCTAGTTAAAATGACGAAAATAAGAAAGTCCTAAGTGGCTAAGAGGCAGTGATCGGACATTAATTCGAGTTACTTCGAGAATCTATAAATAAGTCACCCAAAAATCCTAGACAAGTAAGGTAAGTTTCGCAAGGTTTAATTTGATCCCGATTTCAAGCAAACAGAATTGCAGCTTGCTATGTAAGTTCCACTTCTGTTAAGATGAATGAAGCCCGCTGCTGACACAACTAGCGAAAAACGGCAAGGTGGACATGGTGGCCCATCAGCACCGCGGTCTTCATCCAGTGCTGGTATCAAATCCGCAGACCTGTAGAACTGTTAATCCGGAATCCGTGTCAGCAAAACCTAACCAGGTCCGGTATACAGGCATAGATGACTGCAGTCGTGACAAGAAGTCTAATAGGCTGCAAGGATGTTAGTTCCGTAAAATCCCCCGGAAAACCCTCATATATTATGATATCCACAAGATCAAGCTCATCATTCACATGTTCCTGCAACAACATTCATCACAGCTAACTCGTCTGGTTCCATATTGCGAGATCATCGTGTTCCGAATGATCATCCTCTACTACAGTTGGTCGGCAACAGATTTCTGAGTGAAGCTGAACCAGATTGTACGCTGCTCTCGAAAACTAAATACCGCATAGCCACAGATGACCCTCCACCGAAGTTATCGACACCCAGGGTCGAATTCGGACGAGAGAACATCCCGAGAAATTGCATCTTCTGATCAGCGCAGCACATGATCGGAGCATTTCAAGTGGTCAGTAAGGGAGGTACAGGCGAAGATAACATCATTGGGTTCGCCGATTTCGGGATTCATCGCCGAGGCCGTCCTAAAACGGCTACAATCCCTCGTCTTCCAACACCACCGACCGAAATCCTGGGCACGGTATGTGGATGACACCTTCGTCATCATCGAACGGGATCAGGTGCTAATGTTCAAAGAACAACTTTACAGCGTCTTCCCTAGCATACAATTTAGGATGGAGGAGGAAGAGAACAACCAGCTGGCCTTCCTGGAGGTCCTCGTCTGCCGTAAAGATTGTGGTGGCCTATAGACCAAACTGTTCAGGAAAGCGACAAATACACTGCAAGTACTGAACTTCAACAGCAACCATCCAATCGGACACAAACGCAGCTGTGTAAGGTAGTTCCATCGGCGTGTCGAAACGAACTGCAGTGACCCGGAAGACAAGATTGCCGAACTAAAATACCTCCGACGGTTATTCAAAGCCAATGGCTACCCGCGCAACTTTGTCAACCGGTGCATACGCAAAGGAACGAAAGGCCTAACCGCACGGACACCAAATTTTTGCGAGTGCTTCCGTATGCCAAGAACGTTTCGGAACCTGTCGGCCGCCTTCTCGCACCATTTGGGGTCGGATTTGCACACAGACCGGAGGCAACCATCAGGCGTCAGGTAATGTAACCGAAAGACCCACTGCCACGGCAAGAAACGTCTGGCGTCGTTTATCGGATCTGGTGCAGTTGCGAACAAAGCAAGTAGTCGGAGAAACCGGAAGACAGCTCCGAGTGCAAATGGCCGAACACGCTGCAGCAGTGCAGAGAAATGACGCTAGCTGTCAAGTTGCGGCTCACTCGACGAGATGCGGCTACACATTCAAATTCAACGAGGTTGCAATTCTCGTGAGAGGGTATAGTCGCGTGAGCCGCGAGCTGCTTGAGTCATGGTTCACTGACCCCCAGTCCATCAAAAAGTCCAACGACCTTCCCCTTCCATATTCGGTGCTGAGACTCTGCCTAGACGGAGTAATTAGCCACGCGGGGAACGCACAGGTGAACAGTGTTCCCAACGCCAAGGTCGGTGGGTCAGATGGTCGAGCAATCATCACACAAACATCCAACACACGTGGTGAAATTGCAGCAATTAACGACGCGAATTTCAGCCATTAAACAGTCATCACGTCAAGTGCAACGATCCCTGATGAATGAGGGGGGGGGGAGGGGAGGGTGCCGCGGTAGCATGGCGACTGAATCCAATAAGTACTGCAACCCCTAGTGCATGAACCAACTGTATCTGGTTTTCTCTGATGATGGGATCGTGCAAGAATTCTAAACGTCAGGCCAATAAAGCTCTTGTCCCAGTGATCGTGTCTCCTTTTTGCAGGCGTTCGTTATACATTTCCACGAAGTGACTGCTCCAGCATGGCGAAGATACAGAGGAAGCCTGTTTCCAAGATCTTGGTGTTTGTGTTTCTTTCCCATCCCATCGTCTTCGGTATTTTTGGAGGCATCTGGGGTGAAAGTGATTTAGTTTTCTTGTCTGACTAGCACAGACTGTCCAGATTTCTCTCCTGAATCGGAGCGTGGTCTGGAAACAATCCTACACATCCTCATATTTGTGTTGAATAGGATGCCGCGACGGTTCGAGACGGAGCGTTGTAGCCTGGTTGGCTTTAGAGATCCGATCGTCAATTTGATATTTTCTAAAATTATATTTTCGAGGTACACGAAGTGGCTCATTGTTGGCAGGCAAGCGCCATTGTTATTGACCCTGAGTGCGTTGTGGGTGTCATTCGTCGCCGGTTGACGCACGACTGTTGCCTCCCCCGTCATACCACCATTGCTACGACTACTGCTGCTCCTACCACCACCACCACCACCACCACCACCACCACCACCACCACCACCACCACCACCACCACCACCACCACCACCACCACCACCACCACCACCACCACTAATGTCAGTTCTGCTACTGCTACTAATACTACTACTACCGCCACCACTATTCCTACTGCTACTACCATTACTGCCTCTACTACCACTGCTACTAACTACTACTACTACTACCACTACTACTACTGCTATTACTACCGCCAACACTACTACTACCACCACTACTATTCCTACTGCTGCTACCACCAATACCACTGCTACTACTGCTGCCACGTCTACTGCTGCTGTTAATACTACTACTACTACTACTACTACTACCACCAACACCACTACTACTACCACCAACACCACTACTACTACCACCAACACCACTACTACTACTACTACTACCACCGCCACCACTATTACTACTGCTACTACCACCAATGCTGCTACTACTACTACCACTACTACTACTATTATCACTACTGCTGCTATTACTGCGGCTGCTACTACCACCACCACCGACATTCTACCTATATCACGCGCTGCTGTGCGGCTTCCGATTAAGCTCGAGAGAGGGCGCGTAAGGCACAACGGAACGAGTGAGTTCCGTAAGAACGATCGGTGGGCGTCCCCTACCTTTGATTTTTGATGAGCCTAAGCTAATTGCCAAGTCTGTCTAGGCACGCCACAACACGGACGGTTCCTCTTCTAGAACCGCCTGCGGATTCCCATACACTGGAGGGATACGCCAGGTACCCAAGCCCGGTTTCTTTCGCCAGTCGAGGCAATTCACATATCGTGTGGCCTACGACCGAGCTCAGTCGATAAGACAGAGGAACCTTCAGGTGCGTCACAAGGACCATGACTTGTGGTGTCCGTGCAATTCTCATCCCAAAAGGTTACAGTATTCGAGAAGACACAGTCTGAGCTCTGGGTAGATTCAGTAACAAAAAACCAATCGCCCAAAGAACAATGTGATTGACGTATTGGACCTATTACGTTTTGGTCTTCGGAAATGAATAGTAACCCCGATTTTCTCCAATGTTCAAGAGTCTAGAAAGTTGCCTCACTAAGCTCATCTGACGCTCAAATGATTTCCCTCCCGTGTTTAAGGTGTGCTGGATCTCATTTTAATTTTAAAAAAGTAGAAAATAGGTACATGATAAGATGAGGGGAATGAGCAGAAGTGAAACGAGTAAATGTCAATGGAACGTTGAAAAAAGAACACGAGGGAGGGTTGCTGGACTTACGACTACAGTCATAGCAACAACTTCCGGCTCCCAGGGCGTATCTTCTTCCAACTCGCGACAGCGCTCAACAGCAACAAAATCCTTCTCCGTGTCGGTCATGCATGACACGGTTGCTGTCATTTGATTTGCCAGCATTAGGGCGTATATCACTGCAAGGCCAGCTAAACTGACCTGAAAAAACGAATTCTTATTAGCGCGGAAGGTGCTTGAGAGTAATGATACTCCAAAAACCAAAAACGAAGGCTGGATATGGGAACAGAAGCCCCCTAAACAGGTGGCTCTACCCCAAATCCCAGGGAAGGCTAGAGTTAGAGCTAGGATTTGGGTTGTGCTTAGCGTCAGGAGGGGTAAGGTTATGCATATGAGAGTTAGTGTTAGCGTTGGGGTTAACGTTAGAACACGATAGTAGTAATATCTTGGAATTTAGCGTGGAACTACCTGTAGTCCTGGAGGGGAGTCCGTATTCCCGTGTCCAAATAAGCGATGACATAAAACTCTCAGGAAATAATAGTCAGGAAGCAGAGTTGATGTATTCTTGATAAATTTTGTTGCCAGTGGTAGGACAGAAAGGAATAAACACTTATGGCATAGTTTCCGCCCTCGGTTAGACCCGCTCTAATCAAGTATACATAAGACGTGGTACTTGAGGATGGGCCGTGGAGCAGCTGATCGAGCATTCAGCCAAATTACCATCTAGGTCTGAATCCAAATCCCAAATCCTTTGTGGTTAGGAACTGGATTACGGCTGGCTTGTAATGATAAATAAGTTAGAAATGGCCATTTCTGTTCCATCCGCCTTCTTCGGCCAGGCTTCTCAAATAATGCGTCTTCGTCGAGGTGCGCAGTCGAAGAGAGTCCTAGATTAGAGTCAAGAGACAAAAAAGAACGTATGCATTCCCTTCTGCCCCATAGTCCTGTGCAAATAAGGTCTACTACCATCCCCTGGAATCGGGTGGTAGTTTTCCACGAAACTTGGCAAATCATGGTTTTCGAGCTAAACTACGCCGGAGAGCAAAGTGCATTTTCTGCGCAAACACTCCAGATCTCAGCGAGTAATACTTCAGTACTTAGCGTTAGTAAGTAGGACGTTTGTTAAAAATAAACATACGTCTGTCCAGCCGACGAGTCTTCCGAAAATGGCTGCCGAGATAACAAAGGTAACGGCCATCACGGCAATCATCTGAAGACGGAGATTAAGCCAGGCCGAGGCCGCCAACGAGGCAAGTTCACAACGAGTCTGCTCATTCAGGCGAGCGCAAGATGTTCTTCCAAACGCCTCCTCCTTTCGAAGACCCCGGATAACAACTAAACCGGTGATTGTTTCCGAGAAATGGGCATACACAGGTGAACGCGCAACGCTGCAAAAAAGGATAAGAATAACGTATTATATCGACGTCTCATGTGAGCAGTATCCACTGGGTTTTTTTTCAGCGCCGCAAGCATTCCAAAGACAGGAAGTCTGTGAAAGCGATCGAATCGTGCTGATAAACCTTCCCCTAATATTTTCTGTACACGACAGTACAGGAAGGATGGTTGTGTTTACGAGAGATCTTTGAAAATGTTCACACTAGATCCGGTGAAAGGTGTGTGATTCGGTGCTCCTCAACTTGAAATCTGCTGGTTTGGCAAGAAGTCAATGCTCACAGTCAGTCGAGGCGCCAGTTCACTATGTCGTGAAACGTCCAGGTTACTCTAGGTACTCAACGTATGTCAATAAAAGGTTCGCGTGCTATAGCCTACCCTCATTTTGTCTTGACGGTCACAAAATACAGTAGGCTCGAATTATGATCGGGTGCGATTGAGTTAGACAGACAAGAATGCGACTATTAGCACTGTTTTTCATCTTTAGGGGAGCTTAACGCTTTTATTTCCTTACGGTAGAGGTGTGTTGCAGATCATGTGAGAGTATTAAATCTTAGTCTCGGAGCCATAAAAAGCGGACACATATGTTAACTAAGCACGCGAAAAGAAAACTTACCTAGCAAGACGTTTGAGGTCCCGTGCTGCCCCGCGGTACATTCGCTGGACTGACCAGTATGCAAAAGCTAGCGGCAGACAGACTACCAAGATTGTCGGCATTGCCAGACAGGTGACGACCACGGAACCAAGCAGACCAAAGATGACAGCCAGAAAGATATTCAGGCGAAATGGCAAACTGTCATCCACGGTGCCAACATCAGAGGAAAAACGATTGAGAATACGGCCGACGGGAGTACTATCGAAAAAGCTCATTTCGCCCTGTAAGAGATGTTTTAGACACAACAGTCAAAGCGAGTTACCAAGGGGAAAGTATATTACGCAGATATGCCACTGATTTCCAAGAGTTATAAGTTTGCTATTCGGTTTTCTTCTGAACTACTTACTGGAACTCGACTATTCGAATCTATCGATTATTCGGATAGTTAAAACGGTAACAAATAATGCTTTAGAGGACTTTTTCAAACAACTAGTAGCCGAACATATAACGAACTTTTGGTGGCTACTTGCACCATAGAGGTGCACCTATAAACGAAATTAAAGTATGTCTGATACACTCAGCCTGGTGCACCGACGTGACCTCTTAAAGACTCTAGCACAAAAAAAAACCATTTCCAGACAGAGGAAACGGGGCCTTTCTGTTAATCTAGCTGCGGGGTACCCGGTGCGTCCAAAGGTGGCCGACAGTAAAATGGTTTTTGGTCAACGCTAGTTAAGATATAAACAGACCCTTTGGTCCGGTGAGTAAACAATGACCGAGAAACTGGTACTATCGGATGTAGCCGGTTACATGTAAAAAGGTCACAAGCCACAGCGGTATTATGACATGTTGAATGCCGCCCGCCATTCAGTACGGTTTCATCCACCGTCTGGTTAAATTCTGAAACCTAAGGATGGTGTATAGGGGAGGGCGAACAGTCGTCCGCCGTCTAATCCAACAACAACAATAAGAAACCACTATTTCACCAAGTCGCTGCAAGCATCCATCACTTGGCTACTCACAACTCCAACTGATGCTATGGTTCAAGCATCCTGCCTGAGCTCTCCGAAGGTCAGTGGCAGCAAAATCAATTCCCTACTCAGCTACAACAGCAACGTCCATCTAGACTAATTCTAGGGCAGGAGAGATTGACCGCAAAATTAAATCTGACATTTTTCGGTCGCACTTGCAACAGAAGAGAGAAAATTTGGCTCAAAGAAATAAAATGCGGGGTGTCAGAGGTCCACCTCGTAGATCAGCAACCCAACCGCGGCCTCCTTCGCGGAAGTGAACGATGAGCACGAATCAGTATGGCAGAACCGGTAGTTAACGGGACGCGACAAACGGCCGTTTTCTAGGCCAAGTTATTTGTAATGATAATGAAATGATTTGAAGTGAATGCACAATGCAAACCTTTCAAGTGGGCAAGCTATGCAAAAATCGCCTCGATCATTACAACTAAAAGAACAATATATTTTACAATCATGCAAGAAGAAGCTGGGCCGACCTCTTTGCTTTCCGAACCAAATCAGTTCCGATTAGGCAACAGAGGTTACGAACGGGCAGCTAGCTGCCACTTACTCAACCGAGATATTATAGCAGACGAGGTAGCGATAGTATTGATCAGCTGAATTATGGCAGGATAAGCGCGGAACAGTCCTGTATCAATCTACCCGCATGCATGTCGACCGTCCTCCTCTGCTAGTCTATAGCATTGGATGAAAAATGCTGCACTTGCATCGCTGAATGTAGGCACCGATAGAAGACACCTTGAATCACGTTGTCAGGCTGTATGTGACCGTGTGATAAAATTAATGGCTGACGGCTATTAGGAGAAAACACGCTACCGAATATAAACAAATGCGAAAGACGCACGTTAAAACGTCAGCTGGCAGAAGGACTTAAGCCATGAAATTTACTCGAGAGATCTCGGAGTATCGGTTTCTGGACTAGCGTCCGGCGGGTGTATGTGAATGACAGGAGGAAATAGCCTCGCCAATGTTGATAAAATAACAAAGTGCGTCCAGCTCCCAAAAGTGAAGTATATCATCGGGACGGGAGGAACCCAGGGAAGCATACAAAAACTAACTGTTAAGATGAGAAAAGGTAGAGTAGAAACTAGGAACTCGGGCAAAACGGAGAAGGGAAGAAGTTAAGCAGTGGCTGAGACAGAGATATGATAGCGAGAGGGATAAAAATATGAGGGTCAGAGTCGTGAAGGTGGTAAAGAGAGAAAAATTTGAATGAGTGGCAGAAAGGGGATTGATTAGGCTATTTACTTCAGACTTCATATCAAAAACTAACAAATGGTAATGTCACCTGCAAAACAGAATCCAGGATGCGTTTATGAATGGTTGATGCGGCAGCGAGGCCGGCAAATGCGAAGAGGACAGCGCGTAGAGAAGTAAAGGCAAGATTTGCAGCAATCAGGCCGCCGTATACCGTAAAGTAGAAGCTCGTCCGATTGTCCAAGGCAGACCTCACTTCAGTAGAAACACTGTCAAACTGTTGGCCCGACAACCAGGCGAGAAAATGAGGGCTCAAAAAGTGGGCGTTTGGGAAAGTCGTAATTCCTACATAGCTAACGGTGGGTGTTGTTGTGTTGGCTTCACTCTTCATCCAGTAGGATAGCCAGAAGTCTAATCCATTTCTAGTCGCTAAATAAATAGGAAAAGAGAACAGAGGGTAAAAAAATCTAGACAAATTTTTCTGAGTTATTGCAGCCTGCTAGTTCTTCCAAGCCGCCGATTTGCAATCAAAACAAGAACGAAAATCAAGATGTAGACATTCGTAAAAACATCAAAAGTTTTTTTCAAATTTTCAAGCGTGAGAAATTTCTAGATGGTCTTGAACCCAAAAATGGACGATCGGGCACAAATAAATTGCCAAAAGAATCTCCCATGACTCAGTTTTATTCAAATATTATCGAACTTTTAGTGAGCAAACGCAAGTTTACCCTGCATAAAGGTCAGCGAAGCTAGGACACAGATGGTGAGGCAGTAACCGACCGAACGAGCATACTGCCAGTAAACCCTGGAATCTATCCCTCCATAGGCGAACTTTTCACAGTTAATAGATTCCTCCTCATCCTGCTCTGCCTCCACTTCGTGTTGCAGTTGGCTCCCATTGGCGTCATCTCGAGGGTCCACAGTGACCGCGCCAACATCATTCTCCAACAGTGGCGCACATTCGTCCTCACAAGCACTGCAGCACAGAGAAGGGGTTTCAGGCTCCCGCTGATCTGACTCACTTCCCTGAGACTGTCCAACAGCCGGCGGTGAATCCAAACCGACGCTGATAACTGGGCCTTTGAAGTCGGGTGCAAAGGTGCGTGCGATTTTGCCCTCAGATAAGCAGATTACGAGATCAGCCGGGCCACCTAAGCTGCTGTCCTAAACAGAGAAGTTCGGGGTGTTCAATTGGCACATTTAGATAAAAATGGGAAAAACAAACAACGGAGTACGTCCCGTGGACGCTAGGACAAATTTTGACAAATTTCTCGCCTCTGCATAAAGGACAGATTCTAAAGCAGGCGATAGCAGAGGTAAGAACCCGATTTCCAATCTGAAATATTCGTAAGGCTCGGTAGTGAATAGGTGCTTGTTGTGAACTAGGGGATGTGGTGGTATGCCTAGGTGCGGTCTAGCTGTATCAGCCACTCGCACCATCTCCGCCTTCAGTCGTCTTGGCTATGGCTTGACAACAGTCCCAGACGGGGGGGAGAGTGTGGTAGATGCTGTCCAAGTCTATTACCACTATAAACTAGCTCACGCACAAGTCACCATGCCCGCTTTACACTGCTGTGGAGCACACGGTGGGCATCGTCGGCAATGACGGTCGGACTGATACCATCAGCCTTACAACAAAAGTTCCACCTTGTCCTTACTGCTACCGCCCATTTAAGTCACGTATCAGCCTGGCTGGTCACTTGCGAATGCATCGCATTGAGATCGGCAGGCCAGTACCTGAAACTTCAAGGTAAATCCGTCGCTCCCGCCTCATCTGTCCACACTTCTCCAGGATATCCGGCCATATGCGTCCCCATGAACAGCTTAGGTAAAAAAGGCGGTTCAGATCACATCACCACAGCTTCTTACATGCACACATATTACTGGGCTACGTATGAACCTAAGCTACAACATACGACTCCCCCTAACGCAATCTCTCTCTCTTTTATGAAGCAAACATGTGATTCACTTTTCCATCGCCAGAATGACAGGCGCAGACGGGTTGCTTAGTTTTGTCAGCCACTGCGTCCGACCTCATCTTCGGTCGTTTTCATATTGTGTCGCCATCAGAGCCTGGTGGGTGAGGGAGGAGAGAGTGGGGTAGATGCCGTGCAAGCCGACTTCACTAAAAATATATTAATGCGCCTATCACTGGTGCTAAGCCTAGTCTACAAGGCGCGCGGTGAACTTGGTCACTTACGAAGGTCAAACTGTCATGGTTCCCAAAGGCTTAAATTATACAGGCACCGATCTGTTCTGGTTGCAGGATGGAGTAGAGGCGACGCCGCTCGGCCTTAGAGCTCTAGTCTGAGATTCTTGAAGGTGGTCGTGCACTGAAGTGGGGTCTATAGCAGAGAAGCATTACTGACATGGACAGGGGAGAGTAAAATAGCCATTTCTAACTTGTTTGCCATCATAACCTAGTAATACCTCAGGTCCAGGCCAGGAAGACCGGAGTTAACTTAGTTATGGAGAACTTGAGACAAAACTTCTACCATTAGGGCCGTAAGTTTACTTTCTGCCGAGTGCAATCGGAAATGTTGAAGCTCACGAGTAAATAATAGTCATTTATCTAAGTTGACCATAGGATAGGGTGCAGAGGCAAGAAGCTATCAGGCCTTGAAAATTTGATGCTGTCTCGGTCTAAAATCAACAGCCGTTTGGCAAGACAACTCTTTGTTGTGGTCGAAAGTGGCATGTCATATCCTAACAGCAGAGGTGCCTGTACGTACCTTGAATACCGCTAGGCTTCTCATTTGCCCAAAGAAATGATCATCATGAAAAAACAGTTCATTCATGCCATGTGCCTTGATATGAATTCCTAAGGGATATCTTTAGCACTACGAAAACGGCTGTACAAAGTCTAACACGCGTTAACACTTAAAGAGGCTGTCTTACATTTCCTGAATACCTGGAGTGGTACTCGATTAATAGTGATTTTGACTAATTGTTAGAAAAGCCCTATCAGAACGCCTAAAATAAACGGTAAGCAAGTCGAAGAGCAACGATTACCATAAGGTCGGATAGGGTGTTGTTCCAACCACTAAGTGTAATTACTCATTGCCGTCCCCTCTCCAATTCTTAAAACTGTCCAGGTCTTTACTTACTATTTAGAGCATGTTGAAAAAGAAACAAGCTTTGCGTCTTTTTGAAACTGTTTTTCTTATACATAGAATGGATGTGAACATGAGTAATATAAAGATACTGGGTCACAAAATGTCAATTGAGGAGAAAGTGAGCAAATTTGGAACAGGTGTTTTCGACGGCCGGAAGCTCAACTCAACTGTGCAGTATTTAATACCTTTGACCCCAAGCTTTATCACTGTCATTACGCCTCGTATACTTGGGAAAGCGAACCTATCGGAAGAAGACACGTAGATGTCCAGTGTGAGATCGCCGGCAAAACGTTCTGCTTCAAATGTTCTTAGCTCCACTTTGAATGATTGCTTATAAATGCTACAAGCAAATTCTTCGTCACCTTTTGAAAGGAGGCAACCTTTCAGAATCCCAGTAAACAAGGTCTCCCTTTGAAACAACCCGAAAAAGGTTTCGTGTTGACGAACGTGAAGGGTTGTAAAAAGGTCATTAGTCTGCCAGGTGGTCTTTTGAGGATGAAAGAACTACACGGCTGGCAAGGACAGTCATCATTTTCAATGGGGATTCGCTCAAGGTCAGGAGTATAAAATCTACTTGTTTGCATGTCGGACAGCACCCTGGATACTTTTCTTACGAAGGCAAAATGTTCTATGCACTGAAAGTGTCTACCTGATTGAGGAGCCATTCAGGCTGATGAGTTGCCACAATTCGTGTCTTGCCAGCCAACAGACCGTGCCGTCCGATACAGTTTTTTGCTAGAGCCTTCGCCACATGAGCATCCAAGGCCGCAAGAGGGTCATCGAGAAGGTAAACATCAGCTCGCTGGTAAATGGCTCGAGCCAAAGCGACGCGAGCCCGCTGCCCACCGGACAACAGGCTACCAGCCTCGCCGATCTCACTGTCCAAGCCATGAGGCAGCTTTCTGAGGTCCAACTCGAGTCCACAGGCTGCAACCACTGTTTGCAACCATTCAGCGTCAGTGGGTTCTCCGAATAAAATGTTCTGCCTAATCGTGCCTTTCTGAAGCCACGGAGTTAGACCAACGTAGGCAAATCGTAGAGTTGCAGCGGTTCCAGAACGTCCACGTACATAGGTGACTTGGCCATTCTGCGACTGTAGCTCGCCCATTATGGCTAGAAGAAGAGACGACTTACCAGAGGCGACGGGGCCGACAACACCAATGAGCTGGCCCTGTTAGGAATAGGAAAAGGCGGGACGATTAGAATTAATGAGGTAGGGAAGAAAGCTAAAATGCAGATAATCATAAGGCCCAAAGTAATAAGAAGTTTACAAGACGCCTACGTCAATAAGCCAACCACCTCATTATAAAAAGACCCGTGCACTTACGTCCCTTACTTTAAAATTATTCGGAAATAATATAAACAGTCTTGATCAATGGACGCATCTGGAAGAATCAGTCAGATCAAAAAATCGAAAACTTAAAGAGGCGCTTTGGTGCGCTCGTTTCAGATACCCCGTCCTCAGGTTGACATTCGCCGTGTGCGCCGTTTGAGCTGCCTATATATTAGGGAAGCTAGTAGAACAAAGTATCGTAGTTTTAGCCAAAACCATATCAAAACTAGCTACAAACGCCAGTCCAAGTTTCAACATGCAATGAGTAGGGAAAAGTTCACAAATTATGTTAGCAATTTACTAAAATACCTCGGAAATCGACAAATCGATATTGACCAAAGAGGGTTCTTCGCTGGTTTTCCAATAAAAACGTTCGGCGCAAATAAAGAGTTTAAAGCCACTATCAAGAGGCACCAATTCGTTTTTGGCCATTGCTTTGACCGTGTATTCCTGACTTTCTTCCTCAAAGGCAGGGTTAGCAGACGCGGGCGTGACGTAAGATAGCTCAAGAGTTTGAGATTCCGGTAGGTCAAAGAGACGACAGATCCGGCGAGCTGAAACTAGCGCCTCCATAACCCCATTAATCACCCAGGGAAAGGCATTTAATGGGGTTATCAGCATGTTCAGTAAGGCTAGGCTAGTAAAAATCTGAAAGAAGAAGGTTAAACTTAGGCTGGAACAACACAAAAATATGATTACGTACTAGTATTTAGTCGACGACCACCGTCAGTGAAAGTCCAATATAAAGCATTCTAACCAACAACAAAATGAATGCTGATTAGGGGTATGAAAAGGTCTCGGCTACCTAGTAGGCCGAAAATAACAGTGAAATGCAGCTCTTTCAGTATCTCAACAAACATCAAAAAGCACTAATGTCATAGAGGTTCATGTTGCAAAATGGGGTCAACGGAATCCGGCCGAAGATAAAATACAGTTGAAGATGAAAAAGGATGATCACCTCTGCCGGCCGGAGTTCGTTTCCGAGAGCGACAAACGTGGCGAAAGTAAAGCCAGCTAAAAGGGCTGGACAGGCAGCCCATAGGAAAACGCAACAAGCGTCAAGAAGTTTTTGGCCTCGCAAAGCTTTCAGCTCCAATTTTCGGGCGCCAAGAATCTTTTGAGACATAGGGAATTCCAAACAGGCAAGTTTGACCGTCGTCATGCTTAGCAGAAGTTCGGAAATAAACTAAAAGTGGTTGGAGTGCATTGTTAGATTACAAAAATCACAAAATACATCTTGGGAAAAAATCAAGCGCACGTATTAAACTGAAGGTTAACAAAGAGGTATAAAAAGTCGAATACAGACTTTAAAAGTACAAACGAAAAAAAAGAAAGGAAGGCAGACCTTGACGCGAATATCCTTGTGGTACATCAAGTCTGAGGAGTATTTTCCGATGCGATTGGCCACGTAACGATTGAGTGGCAGGAGAATAAACAAGAAAGCAACCCCAACCAAACATGAGATCCCGAGTTGGAGGTATAGGAGAGCCAAAGCAACGAAGAACTGAACCGGCAAAGCCCACAATTCATTAATGCTGGGTGTGAAATTCACAATACGGTCAGTATCCGAGGTAAGGAGATTCACGAGATTGCCTGTACTGAATTGCGACAAGCCCGAGGATTTGTGAGTTAAGAGCTGGCGGTAAACAACCCCCGTAACGGCCACTTTACATTTAAAGCCGAATCTAGGCATCCAGTAATCGTACGCGATGCCCAGGAATGCTGTTATGAGTTTTGAGACGATTAATGCCGATCCCCACATAATTGCATTTGTAGAAGAAGGATTTGGCAAAGAGAGCTCGGACAAAAGTCTGTTTAAAAAGATCGGGCTAGTCAAGCCCAATGAACTGAAAAGGAACTTGATAAAGCCAAGGACCGCGAATTCTTTTCCGAAAAAGTAGAAAAAACTTTTGAAAAGAGGGACTGCTGAATTCGATTGTTCCACTGGGGAAATGCAACTTTTGCCGGGAATGTGTAAAACGTTTCCAAGGGTATCCGCATCCAGAGATGTAGAAATCCGTGGCAATAAGGTTGAAGAAAATAATTCGCCATAATAACCTCTCGTAATTGTTTGATTAATCCAAGTGAAGGATAACTTGCTCAACCAGCTGGCGCCAGACTCACAAGAGACTTCGGGGACAATTGTGTTTTCACTGGAAACCACATCAGAATTCATTTGACCTCGAGAGATCAACGTAGACTTTAGAATGTTCCAGTTTTGTGACGTTCGTGCTTGGCGGGCTCTCCGGCGTCTTTCTTCCTCAACCGGAAACACGATAGGAATCCTGGATGTAAGGTGTAGAGCGACCAAAACAACATCGGCGGCAAGAGCCAAAATAACTGCGAAGTTCTCCTTTGAAGACACTTGGGACACGACAGACCATAACTGAACTGCCGTACTGTACATATAAACTACCTCTACAAAAACAAGCCACTGTGGGCCCCTTGAATGAAGCCAACATGATTTCCCATGGACAAAGTCAGTCACGGAAATAACTAGCCAATTCGAAAACTGAACGCCTAAGTGTAGTATAGTAATTTTGGCCCCGGATAGCCTTAATGTTAGAGGAAGTGATGCGGACGAGACAAGGCAAATTATTGTTTTCATCAGCATAAGACAGTCAATTAATATGCGGACATAAAAGACTTTCGTGTAGAATCGTTCGAAAGCAATATTTTTGAACAATGGAACCAAGACTGCTACGGATAAGATGAGAAAAACTGCCGATATCGGAATTTGAATAAA